TTCATTAGAGACCCTCTGACTCCGCGGGCCCAGCCCTCCCCCCCCGTCCCATCCGCATCCCGCCAAGTGTGGTGTTCATGGCTGACCCCAACCTCCTCCGTCTGTCCCCTCTCCCCCCCAGGAGCCTGGGCCCCCCCAGCCGGACTGGAGGGCCCCCCCACGCTCTCCTGCACGGGTCATCACGCTCAGGAGGGAGGGCTCCCCCAGCCCGGCCCAGCCAGGGCACAGGCCCCCGTGTCTCCCCCTCCCCGACCCCCCACCTGGCAAACCCGCTGTGAGGACAGGCCCCACTGCAGGGTATCCCCGCCCCCACCATACCTCCCCCTCTCTGGTGGTAGGGCACCCCCCAGCCCCCCTTGGTGTCAGTGGCCGTCCCCAGCGAACCTCCAGAGTGGAAAGTCCATGGGCTCCTGGTCCCCCCCCTCTCCAGCCCCTCCCTCTTGTGCCTCTGAGGCATCAGGAGTTCCCAGGAGGTGAGGGGTTCCATCGGGATAAAGTGTCCAAGCGCCAGGGGTTGATGTTACCTGCAGTCAGCGGGCCAATTGGCGGGCAGCGTCCGGGTGCCTAGAAGAGCCAGGCCTGCAGTTCATGGATCCCTGGATGCTGCCCTGTGGCCTACGCTGCTGCCCCAGACGGGCGCGTCGCCTGCAGCCTGCCTCTTTTCTGTCTCTGCGGTCTCGGGTGCAGGGGTTGGCCACCGACTGTGGGTGCGTAGAACGCCAGTGGGTCCGGCCAGTTCATCGGTAGTGTGGGAAGCTGCAACTCCCGGGTAAGTTCCTGCAGATCTGTCTCCTCTTTCACCAGGAAGGGGCCTGTCGGCGTAAAGACCTGCAGGCCACTAGGAAAAGTTCAGCGATACCAGATCCTCTGGGTCTGCAGTATCTTGGTAAGTGGGCACATAGCCCTACGGTAGGCCAAGGTCGCTGGGGAGAGATCAGAAAACAGCTGGACCTGGGTCCCCCGGAAGAGCAGTCTCTCCGTCGTACTGGCCCTCTGCAGGATCTCCTCTTTAAACTGATAGCTGGCCAGACAGCATATGATGTCTCTAGGGGGGTCCTCCGGAGCCCCCCTGGGGCGGAGAGCCCTATGTGCCCGAATAAAATCGATATGGGAGGCTTCCGGCCTGCCCAGTAGTTTGTTGAACAGGCCGGTCAGGATCTCCCGCACTGATTCCGCTCCAGCGGTATTCTCAGGCACCCCCCTCACTCTCACATTTTGCCTCCTTCCTCTGTTATCCAAATCTTCTATGTGGTAGGCTATCTGCCGCAGTTGCTCAGTCTGTTTCCTCATGGCGTCTGATGTGGCCGTCTGCACTGAGTGTGTGTGGTCTGAATCCGCCTCCAGCTGCGCCACTTTATGATGCAGGCCCTGCAGCTCTTCTCTCATGACGCGCAGCTCCTCTGTAATGGATTTCTGCAGGGCACTGTTTGCCTCCTGCAGATCTGCCTTTGTTGGCAATTTGCCCAGCAGGGCCACCCAGTCTGGATGTAGCCCTGCGTTCCTGTGCCGTCCAGTCTCCTCTCCCCAGGTAGGTGGTGGAGTGAGGTCCGCGGCCTCTGAATCAGTAGAGGCCTGGGAGGCAAGGTCCGCCAGCGTAGTCATGTATTGGTTGATCGATGGCGCCGGGGACCCCCTCGGGGTGTCCTCCGACTTGGCGGCCGACATTGGCTTGTGGGATTTCCCCATTTCGCTTCTTGACTCGGTGCTTGGCAAGCTTTAGAGGCAGAACCGGCGGGGAGCTCCCTGATTAAGCCGTCATTTCGCTCTGCGTCCCGGCCACGCCCCCAGCCCGAAGTTTCTTTAATCCCATTTCAGACTTGAATTATCTCCAAAAAATAAAAACTTCTGTTCATTTATAGTAAAATGTCGAGAATTTGAACAGATATTTCCATCATAGAAATGAAAATGTCTCTACACCGAAGAGATTTAAAAAAAAAAAATAATCTATACAATCACAATTTATTTAATATCTCCGTTACGGAGTACTATAAAAATATATAAAAAATAACCGAGACATTTTTTATTCAGATCTCTCGAGTAGCTAATTGCAAAGAGTGTCAATTATACCAAAAATATAATACATAACTGGAATTAAGAGCATTTCTAAAGCATACTATACAAACAGACAATATGGTATAAACTATCAGGTTCCCCATAACTTAATGTAGGTGTAGGATTCAGTGATAAAAACTGATATCCTTCACATATTCTCTATTACTCAGGTATCTCCAGTTAGTAATTATAAAAAAACATTGTTTTTACGAGCAGTTTTAATCTTAAACTCGAGATTTCTTTGCTCACAATTCCAATATGAATTATCTCAAAAAGACGTATTCTATTCACTTGTAAAGAGTCATAAACTGTTATTTTTATACTTTAAGTATTTGCTTAAGATAAAATAAGCCTTTAGCCATTTTTGATAAAGCCCATGAGGTGAAACGCGTTAAATGTTTTTTTACTGTGTATTTTAACAATAAAAACTTTTATTTGGTACCCTTATTTATAGGACCATTTTTGTTTTATTGTATAAACACTATTATTTTTTATTTTTCTCCTGGCATCTAACTGTTCCTGCTTAAAGCAATCCATAGGTGGGGATTATTCCACCAGGCGCATTATAAATAGAACAGTACTCCCTGCTCTACCATTGTGAGTATACTTATTTTATTTTATTTTACATTTTCCCTTCCTACTGAGAGCACTATATCTGTTTTTATATACCGTGCGAAACCCAACGAAACCAAAGCCGGACGGAGTGACCTATCCTCACAGAATATCCATTAGCGGGGATTATACCGCTAAGTGCCTTACAACTAAGAGCTGGTCCTAAGCTCCAACAAATGTGAGTTTACCATTCTCCATTTTTATTCAATTTCGCTAAACCTCTCAGTACACACATTGGAAGTGTGTTTATGTTCTTATCTTTCATATACGGATTCCCTGGAAATTCGGAAGGATTAACCTTTGAGGACTGTACATATACAGCTCATCCACATAACAGTGAGACGTCTTTTATGCATATTATTGGACTTTTGAAGTTTTAAGTTTTACCACTACTAGTGCACGGACTCTGTTTCACACTATTTTATTGTACTTTTACTGCATATTTTTTATTGTATATTCTTATCTTATTTTATACAATTTTATATATTTTATATAATTTATCTGTATCCAGCGCAGCCCTTCACCCCTTCTTTTTTTTAAGATAAAATAAGTATATATCTACACCAAAGGTATTCCCAAACAATCTATGCACGCAATCCTAATTAAGTTAATCTCCCCATTATGGAATCATCAAATCTCTATGGAGAAAATAAACCAGCTATAGAAATATAAAAAATATAAAAATATACATGAAAGGTAAAAGATAACCTCAAATAATAAAATTAAAATAGTAATTAGAAGTCAGAAATGAGTACCTAATTGTAAATTCCTCAATGTTAAAACTTTAAAAAAAAACTTATTCGAATAAATATCATAAAATATTTTTGATTTCACACTCAGCATTGAACCCTAATGGGACTAATGTTTTTAAACTATAGATCCAGTATGTTTCTCTATATGTAAGGCTATTAATTAAGTTGCCTACATATTGTAGACCGAGTTGCATGTTATACATTCTTTTATTTTGTATTTTTTATTTGTGCATGTAGAATAAAATTTTGTTTTACCAAAAGGTGGATGTACTATCTTACAGACTCTGCAAGTATCACACTAAAAAAAACCTATATGTGAATTTAGAAAGTGTTTCTCTGGTGATGGTCTAATATAACTGTGTACTAGTTTATCTTTAAGTGTTGGAGCCCCTCTGAATATAATTCGAGGTTTGGAAGGTAATATTTATGATAGTACTGGATCTTGTTTTAATAAGCCCCAATTTTTGTATACAGCTTTCTTAATGTAATTCGTCTGAGCGTTAAAATGAAAAATTAGTGGACATGTGGAATTGGACAAATTTTCGTGATTTTCTATCTTCTTTTTCGGACCAGAATCTCAGTTCTGTTCACATTTTAGACTTTTTCCATTGCTTTAGAAAGCAATGAAGGGTCGTATTCTTTTTCCACAAATTGAGACCTCACTTTCTTTAATTGTTCCTGACACACTTTGTCCTCAGAGCAATATTTCTTAATCCTTAAGAATTGACTATAAGGGACGTTCTGTAGCCACGAGGGATTGTGGCACAGCTGGATGTCCAAATAAAACTATTTATGTCCACTGATTTTTTTTAATTTTTAATTTTTGCTGTGCATAAAAAATATAACAACAAGCGTGAGGTACCCCAACGGCATTCCTCACGTTGATTTTCAACAAATATAGCAGTGGGGTATACAAGAGTACGTGCACATTTTTAGTAGTTAAGATGATGATCATGTGGAAACTTAATGATATGGGTACAAATAATGATTAGTCTTGGCTTTGTGTAGTGGGTTCTGTTGTATCCCGACAGTACAGTGTGGTGTTTACTGGCTCAAGATTGTACTTAATAGTGTGATACATAGGTAATGAGCATCACGCGGGAGGGTAACATTGGTGGCTAAAGGTGCATACAGCAGTACATTTGTGTCAGGCTGATTATAAGTTCGGATAGATTTGCTTGTATTAAAGTGTGTGTGATTAGAGTGATATAAAGGGAGCTGTGAGCGCATTGCAAGCTTGGTCATTTGAATGTAATGGGAAGGCAATTTTAAGACTGAGTAAAGGGCAGTACCAGGGTATACATGTATGTGTGGCTGCTGGCTTCTGAAACTGGCAACTTAGAGTAACTCAAAATAAAACATTTGTACCAATAGGCTTTCAACAGCTTATGTCAGAATGGGTATGCATCAAGTCCTGCATCTAGACCAGATTGGCAGCTGGAACGAAGGTAACCGCAACCCTTCACCCGATGCCACTGGTGTGCTTTGCTTTATCGTCCATTCTTTGGCCCAGTGTCGTGTCTCCACATGTTCTCCTGCTATTCTGTGACAAGTACCTGTCCCCAGTCGAGTTGAGCACCCCCATTACCAGCGCTGTCTGACCAGTGCTCCCCTGTAGGTGCCGTCCGTGGAGTTGGGCAACCAGGCAGGCGCGGTCTGCATCGGAGTACCTTGCGCCCAGCTCGTTCCTGGAGTACAGCCGTGTCGCCGCCTGCCCGACGATCGCTTGTCATCTGTTTGTTTCCATTTTTGTGGTTCACCCTGGGAGTCCGCTTCTGCCGTGGTGTCTCGTAGGTGGGTTTTCTCTCCTGCCCCGGAACTGTGTGGAGGTCGGTGCTCGTAGGCCACGAGCCTGGGAACTGTTGTGGTCCAGGGTCGACCCTTTTGGGGTGGAGAGGAGAGTCTTCCCATTCTGTGTGTTCTCCGCCGGTGTGGCTGGCACCTCTGGGGTTTGTCCCCTGCTGCCCTTAGTCCGGGAGGGCCATGGATGCTGGGGCCTGTAGCGTAGGGTTTAGATTTGCCTTGAGGAGGGTTCCCAATAACCCGACTACCATCGTCTCTGTCTCGTTTGGGCTGTGGGTGGTGAGGCACCTCAGGGTATAAGTGCGCCTGCAGTCTGGCCCAGAATCGGTCAAATATTGCTGTGAGAGAGTCTCTTGCACATTCCCCTCTGCCTGCTTCTTCACCATGACGCTGTCTTTTATCTGGCACTGTCAGGACCAGAGAGTGATCTTGGAGGCCCGCGGCTCCTTATTGCTTAGAGTTGCTGAGCCTGTCGTTCGATGTGGGGCCCTGGGCTCTCCCCCACCGGACCATAGGGGGGGTGAGCGGTTTGTGCTCATTTGCGGCTTTTAGCATTTGGCGGGAAGGCGGACGTCCTTCCCCCGTGCCTCCGCCAGTAGGCCTCAATCTGCAGCTGCGCTTCCCGGTCGCGCCGGGTGTCAAATGTGGTGTCGGCATGTTCGGGACTGCTTCCCCGTTCCCGTGGGCCGGTTTGTAGGTAAGTTGCATCGTTATATCCCAAGTTATCTGCTGCATTAGGGCTCTAACTGCGGGAGCCCATGCTGAATGCGTCTAATCCGGTTGCTAGCTCGGCTCCACCCCCCTACGTCCACTGATTTAAAAAACGTTTTTGATTTTAGGGAGGCTTCTTCTACATTTGGACTAGATCTAAAAATTATACGCTCTCTTGGCTGTGTTTATGTGTAAAAGACGAGTTGAAATCATTAAAATTAATATAAGTTAAAAATTCTACAAGGTCTGACTCTGTACCGTTCCAAATAAAGAAGCAATCGTCTATATAACGCCTATATAGGACTAAGTTTGCTACCCAGCGATGCCCTTGCCATATAAAAAACTTTTCCCAAAAGGACATAAAAATATTGGCATAGCTGGGTGCAAACCTAGTCCCCATGGCTGTGCCATTAATTTGTAAAAATATTTCTTCTTGGTACCAAAACAAATTGTTTTCAAGTATAATATCAAACACTCCATTAAAAATAATATTTGCTCCATTTGTAGATCCTTGTCACTGTCACTGCTGTCTTTAAGGTATGATTCGGTTTGTTTTTAACTTCCAAGGTAGGGTCTTTACTTAAACGTTTATAGGTGTTAGTATCATTCAGAATCCTATTGCATTCTGTATTATAATCTAGGGTATTAATTAAAACTATACCACCCTCCTTATCTGCAGGCTTTATGGTAACTGTATTATTATCCTGTAATTCTCGTAGTGCTCTTTTTTTCTTGTATGGATAAATTGTACTTCTTGCCTGATACTTTATCTGGTATTCTTTTAAATCTGCCATCACTGCTAAGTTATACGCATTTATAGAAGTGCTCATCTGATTGTTAGGGCAAAAAGTAGACTTGTGTTTTAATGCTGTATGTTGAAAATTACTGGCAGATGATTCCATTGTAACAGGTATAGGATTACTTAAGAAAAAGTGTTTTAATGTGAGCTTTCTCATAAACTTTTGCATATCCCCAAAAATCTGAAAGGGGTCTGATTTTATGGTAAGGGAATATTTCAGGCCTTTATTAAGGACCTTGATTTTATAACTTGTAAATACCACACCATTTTATTATTTTTCTGGATTATCTTTTCTCCTCTACATCCCCTAAAAAATCCCTTTTCTTTTTCCCTGAGTGGTTTGTATTGGGGACAGAGCGATTTAAAAAATAGGTAGTTGGACCTAAAAAGTCATTATCACAGTTGTATGTTTTATTTTTACCAAAATTTCTCGTTGATCCAGTGCTTTGATCTAAAACAGAAAATCTATTGTTATTCCTCCATGTGGTGTTCCATAATGGTCTTTGTAGTCTAGGGGTTTTGAAGGTTTTAATGTTATTATATTGTGGTGATTTTTCTCCCCCATATGTCGGACGGTGGTCCACCCAGACTCTTTTGGAGTTCTAGAGGTATCTGGGGTTTTGTAGGTGTGCTTAGTGTTGGAGACTTTTTATGCATATGTAACACGTTTAGGGAAATGTGTCTTGGCCCTTGAATTCCCTGACTCGCCTGACTACTGAGTCCTTGAATTCTGGTGATTTGGTACCTTTTGACTTAACTTATCATTCCTCCTAAAATTTCTCGCATTATTCACTTTAAAATCTTGCTGGTCTCTATTATATTTTTTCTTTTTAACATTCAAGACGTCTTCAAATGTTTTCTCTAACTTTTTATTTTTTATTTTTTTATTTTCTCCATGAGTGTGACACATTCTGGAAGTTCTAGGTATGGGGTTAGTGTTTCTTTGAGATTACTTATATCTCTGTCAATAGTAGCTAACATTCTTTTACGTTTCCAGATGATATGACTCATTAATTCAAATGAGCAATGATCAAGTATACGATCCCATGTGATATTAAATTCTGGGTCGTGAATGAATGTAGCATTATCCACGTGGGATAATATGACTTTCCCAATATTTTTCCAAGGAAGCCATCTCTAGCTTAAGTTTTAGTTCCTTTTCTAAAGAGAAAACTTGATTTCGTCAATAAAGGAAGAATTCTCTGATCCTTTTTTCAGAGCCAGATCTATTTTACACTGGTCTCTGAATGTAAATAGAGACATATTTAATGCTGCTTCTCTTAATATGGGAAAAGGATAAAAATTATGATTTAAACAAACAAGAGAGCGCAAAGAAATGTACAAATAAATGAATACAAAAGTGCACTCAGGCACTCTACATATATAGATGGATGGGATCTGCCTAGATACTATAAAAACAAAGAATACAATTTTTTTAGTATCGGAGCTCTTAGTAGATAATCCCCTTACTTAGTATAAAATATGGGGGGGGGGGTGGAGCTTAGCAGCCAACTGGAACAGACGCACGATCAACAAGCTCCTCATTCACAGCTATTATAAACGCGAGTTTTGCAAAAATATTAAGCTGAAAATCGACCCCAAAGACCCACCAGAGCCATGGGACGGAAAACAAAGAAACAGAAGCCAGACAAGCCCAAATCGGGACCCGATATCGGAGACTTATTCCGCCAGGCACAAGACGCATGAGGGGCCAAGATGGCCGCCAACACGGCAGGGTACTCAGACTCATCGGACGAACTGAGTCTAGAAGAGTACACCAGCGGAATGTTCACCCCGCTGACTCAACTGCCCGCACCCAAAAAGCAACCTGAACCGGTAACTACAGACACGCTAAGAACAATGTTGGGTGACCTGCAGCAGGTGTTCCAGGCAGATGTTGCGCAGCTCCGGGCGGAGTTGACAGGCCTAGTGGGGCGCATTGGAGCCATAGAGGCCCACACAGACAGACAGGCCCAGGAAATGAAGGATCTACGTAACGAGCTACAGGCGCTCAAGAAGCATCAAGCAATAACAGACCATTGATTTGCAGCCCTTGAGGACCAAAGACGCCGCAACAACCTCAAGATTCGGGGTGTCCCAGACGACATCCCGATGGAGGAGCTCCCACATCTGATGAGGAGGCTCGCGGGAGCGCTACTGAAGCCACAACAAGCGAAAGCCTTGAGCTTTGAGGCGATCTTCAGACTCCCTAAGCCGAGGAAGGCCCCAGACGCGGCCTCCAGAGATCTGGTGGTGAGGTTCCAATCCAGAAGACAAAGCGGCTATACTCACGGCCCTACAGGAGAAGAAGCCACTCAATTTCGAAAACGCCAACCTTACCTTTTTCTCCGACTTGTCTGGAGACACAATGCAATGGCGTAGATCCCTACAACCATTCACGACACTCCTGAGGCAAAACGACATCACCTACATATGGCGCACACCAAGGGCCCTACAGGTCCTGAAAAACAACCTGATTCACATGGTCAAAGACCTACCGTAGGCTGAGCAGCTGCTGGCAACACTTGTCCTGCCAGAGAACTCTCTCACGCCAGCAGTCCCGGCGGGCGCAAACAGCATAAAGCACCGATGGGACCCATCAAAGATCACGCCATTCGTGCCTATTACAAGGCAGCCAAACAACCCTGCAATGGCCCCATCCTGAGCGGAGACGCACGGGACACCACGCGGCTCTATACTATCCCAGGAGGCGCGGTGACAGCGAACCACAGCCGCTCCTGCTCAACACCAGACTTTATTTTTATTGGTTTCCAGTTTTCTTAGTTCCTATTGACTTTTAGTTTTATACCTGGCTGCATTGTGCTCCTGGACGCTCTGGAGACCGTGCCAAATCGGGGTCCACTCAAGCCCATTACGCAAGACCTTTGACGGCTCGGTGAGATGGACTCATAAGGGACCTCACAAGGACTCACGGTAACTCCCTCAGATGCCCTGGGGCGCCCGGCTGTGCTGAGACAGTCAATACCCCGCACCCAGAGACTTGCAGTCCACCATGCAGGCCAGCCCGTGAGGACCCCCGATGGGGATCACAGTTCATAACAGATTATAATTGCTTTTTGGACGCACACTTGTTTTTCTATGTTCATATTAATAATGATAGAATGTAACAACACCGAGACAACCCTGACCGCACAACACGACATACAAGCCCAAATAGGCACAAAACATGCCATAGGGTACTGTTTTCTACACCTGGTGTACAGGTGGCCCGGTGGGGCGCCGTCTAACACTCATTAGCCCATTTACTTACAGCGTGACCTATCTGAGAGATGCAAACTGCCAGGCCACTACTGTGAGGCATAACATGCCATCACAAAACCCACATCGACACGGCTAAGCGGACACAGCCAATCACAACTCACTTAACCCTACCTAGACAGAATAGCGGCCTAGCCGAGCATGAGTTACTCCTCAAGGAACCGACACACAATATACCTAAGTGCTACTACTAAGCCGACCACTACTACACGGTAACCAATAATATTGCACTTAACACATGGTAACGTAAGCCACACCAACGCAGTTAAAGATACTCACTCACTACTATTCTAACACTAGAAAAGTTTAGTTATCCTTGTTATCTATAAATAATATAAAAATGTGCTCACTATGCCACAGTCTAACCTCTGCAATTCATGGATCACGCTGTTGTGGCGTGTGTTGCTTATTTGTAATACCCTGCACAACTAAAATAAAGAATTAAAAAATATATATATATGGGGGGGAGGGGATGGAACAAACCATATCACAGTATAATGGTCAGTTGCAAAAGTAAAAGTTCCAAAGTTAATGTTTTTAGAAGGATATGTCTAGATAGTGTATGGAATTGTAACAGTTCAAGATAATCAGCAATCTCTGTAACTGAAGTTAGTTTCTTCCGATATCACTATGTATCCAACCTTAAAGCAAAAAAAGATACTAACATAGTGTAATTCAGTTACAGTTTATTTCCCATACAAAATGACCCCCCTAAATAAGAACTCTTTGTATCTTTTTGTTACTCTTAGTTCTTATTTAGGGGGTCCTTTTATCTAGATTCTAGAATATACTCTAAATGGCATCATGCAGGTCTTCCAGATTTTTGGTGCAAGTCTACAGTTCTACATCATCCCTGTATTGGATTCAGTGACAACTAATATAGAGATGGCTTTTTTTTTTAGTCCCTCTCTAGCACAAGGATAGATCTTCAACTGTCCTACAACTT